AAAAAAAAACAAAAAAACAAAAAAATAAAAAAAAAAAAAACCAACAAAAATAAAAAAAAAAAAAAAAAAAAAAAAAAAAAAAAAAAACAAATCAAAAACGATAAATGCAAAAAAATAAATGTTTAAATCTATTCTAGAATGCTAATAACTAATAAAAAAAAAATTATAACCAACTTTTAATGCTTCTCTAATATCAGACTGGTCTTTATATTTAATAATCGTTATGGTTACAATACTGCTACTTCTCTTTAATTCCTTTAACTCTCCCCACGAAATCTATAAGCATTATAACCCACAGCTTCATATTATTAACCTATATTTTAGACAAGTTTCTTTAATTAATTGGGATTACGAAGAATAAGTTTTTACAAATAAAAGGAGTATAAATTGCTAAGTTTAATTGATTTATTGCACCTATAGGCTAAACACAAACATTTAACATACCTCTCATCTAACTTCCGAATTACTTTGTGGATTATCGAATTACTTTTACAGTTTATAAAATGAGGCATATACTTTAAGATTTTTTTGGTCACAACTTTCTACAATTCGTTTTCATGGTGTACAATTGGTTTAAAGTTGACTAGGGACTGTTCTAATAGTATAACATTCTAATCTTATAGCCAGTCAGAACACAAGCCTGCTATGTTTATATATTAATCATCTTTTACCCTTATCCTTATTAATTCTAATCGAAAATGTCGGAAGGTGATTTTCAAGGCAAAAACCTCATATATTTAGTACGATAATATTGAACCATTTACAAATTGAAACCTTATAAATAACAACTAATAAAGTCATTGTTATACTTTTTAGTCTTGTCTATCTTATATAGTTCATTTTATTAACATATGCTTTTATTGTGATAAAACCTCAGTTGGGAACAATAATTTCTTATTTATACATGATATGTTTTTTTTTTACTCATTTGTTCACGCTTACTTACATATTCTAAATTATAAATGTTTAGGAGAAGATACCCTTCAAAAGTATCTCAATAATTATATTAAAGATTCTATTTATTATCATAAAGATTTTGCCTATAAAGATGATCTTTTATTGTAATTTAATGCATGAGTTCTTAAAGGTTATAGTGTTGAGAATAGAGATTGTATTTTAATTGTTGATCTTAGATACATGAATAAGATTATCATAGGTGTGGCAACACAAACTGCTATAATCGAAACAGGATGTACTATTTCGTAATTTGGATGAAATGTATTTGCTTTTCCAACTGGTGAATGTTCTATAACTGGTGTTGCCGGCATTATTTTTGGATGGTGTAAGTACTGTATTGTTTGAAATTTTTATTATGTATTTGTTTTTTTTTACTATTCAACTATAACAAATAAGAATTTTTTCAATAGGGTCATGGATATTTAATGCAAAAATTTGGAATGTCATCTGATAGTATTCTTGATGCTTAAATTGTCTTAGCAAATGGAACAATAGTTAATTATGCCCTAATACTTTCTATGTTTGCTGTCTCAAAAGTTTTTTTTTATAAAGTTCTGATATAAAAAATTTACTATAATAAAAAAATCCATATATCTACTATGTTCTAAAAAAACTATTTGAGAGTATCATGCTAAAGAATGTTCTGATCTTTTTTGGACACTTCAAGGTGCTGAAATCATTATAAAGTTACGTCTTTCTATATTGACTTGACAGGACTATTTTATGAAGATGTTGAGTATTTCATGGAATTTATGAGAAATATCAAGTGTAAATTTTTTATAAGAACAATGTTAATTGGTGGTGAAAAAATTAACGAGGTTGAACAAAATAAAATGGCATTTGTTCACAGAAATTTTATGTATTATTATGGGAATTGAAGCAACCTTAGATGAGGATAATTATGAAATCTGCCTAGAATATTTAGAAAGTTTTCTCATGTATTTCAAAAAATTATACTTGTTTTGAAAGTTATTGAAACTTCATTGATAGTGAATTAGATAATTGGCAATGTAGATATTATGGAGAGTATTTTGGCAAATTAGTAAAAATTAAACGAAATATGATCCTAATCATTTATTTAAAGAATGCCCGCTACTACTGAAATTTCGTGTTATTAGTTAATAAGAATTAATATTTTATGCAAAATTTTAAATTTAAATAAATCAAGAATTTTGTAAATAAGCAAGTATTGATTTAATCATACATTTTTTGACTCTAAATTATCAATATATATATGCTCTACTAATGTAAAAAAAAAAGCATAAAAAATGTATTATACTTATACATTTCGATTTATTTTACATTTCGATTTATTTTACATTTATTATTTTTTTTTCAAATTTATATGGGATTAGGCATATGACTTTATTAGATAATCGACTGGGGTGTATCATATCGGTCATTTACAAACATAGTGCAGATGAATACGTAGTTGAAAATCACTAACGCAAATAACGATAAAGATTTATACGTAATAAAATTTTGGCCTTACATAATTGTAATATGTCACGGCTTACCTGAGTGTCCGTTATCATACGATTTACTGCGGCCACATAGTAATTCGTTTATCAGGTTTTCTTGTAAAATTTAAGAGCACGTTAAGAGAACTTTGACAAGTATAATTTTATTTGTACATGTTTATTGGTTCAAAAGTTATTAAAGATTAAATTTTTATAAAAACCGGCCAACGATTTAGCATGTGGCCCGCATTATGTTTGTAAATCGTATGGTAGCGGACATTCAGGTAAGCCGTGACATATTTCAATTAGTGAGGTAAAATTCTAACGTTATTACTTTATAAAGACACTTTTCATTAAACATCTTGCTTTTATAGAATTTAAATTTTTTATAATATTTTAATATAGAACAGATCTCAAAATGTTATAAAAATCTTTGATTTTCACTATGTTTGTAGATTGACCGATATGATACGTATGTACATACCATCTTGATGAAACGCTAAAAATTTTTATTATAAATAAAAAGACCGATTAAGTTATGAGATACAAGGGTTAATAATATATATTTTTTTTAGACATTACCTGAGAATATCGATTACGTACGTATGATTTGCAAACCTACTTTCTATATACCGATACGATTTTACTAGACCTAAGTTTTAACTCCCCCCAAGTTGATAGCCATAGTAGGACAATATCCCTTAACATATATACTTTTGAAAATATGATACTTACCTGTTACAGGTTTCTAGAAGTACATGGGTTACACACTTACTACTAAACATAAAAAAGTCAAAATTGTATCATTACAAACAAGTACATGGGTTACACGCTTACTACTAAAGGTTTCCTGTCTCACGTGCCCAACATAACACAGAACAAAATATGATAATTACAACTGTTCTATAAATAGAATTTCTAACTAGTATGTATAGTTTACCAATCATGTTAATATATGCATGTCATTTGATTTCTAATTCCTATATAAATTGTTTCCCGATCTACGTGGCAAAACAAATCTTTACCAATTCCAATCTGTGGTCACTAAGTCATTCTTGGCTTATTTTTAAGCATAAAAAGCGAACATTCTGTCATTTATTTTTTAAACTTAAAAATTTTGACAATTTGACAATACCTTTTTTTCTATTATCATCGAATCATCTTTTTATGCACCATAGCAATTAATAAAGTAATTTTGTAAATTTAATTGATTTAAAATTTACAATCATTTATTAACCTTTATATATAAGTCATAAGAATGGTAAAACACAATACACAGGTTTGTATACTATTCATAGGGATGCTATCGGCTCATTCAACTCTATTCATTAATCGGCTTTTACAAATATACAATCTTGACAAAGCTGATGACATCCCTAGATATTTAAATGGCGTTATCGGACATTTCGTTGTCTCAATTCATGGAATATTCTTTTTTTTTAAACTATATTGTAACAGGTTGGTGATATGATTACAATTGAAAAACATATCTCATCCACTCTTTCACCTCTTAATGATACCTCCGAAACCCTTAAGACACCATCTATCATAACCAAGAGCTATTCCGATGATGATCTACGTAGATTACCAAAAAAAATAGCAAAACGTATAGAAAATTTTAAACCACGTAGTTCACAACTTGATCGAGAGCAATTAGAATCTGCTCAAGATCCATTTCGAGGATTTTTTACTTTATTCTGGATTGCAATGGGATTCTATGTTATACAAACTTGGGCAAAAAACTTTGAATCGGCTGGAATTTTATTTGAATTATCATTCTTTAGATTATTTTCTCAAGATGCTATATGTTTAATTCTTAGTGATGCTATTATGATTGGTTCTATGTTTTTTGCTGTCTTATTACAAAAATTGATTGCAATGCGTTGGATTCGTTGGAGATATACCGGAATGATTATTCAACATTTATTCCAGATTTCATTCTTGTTTGTACCTATTTATTGGACATTTGTGAGGTAAATTATTTTTAGTAAAATTGTGGTCAAATATAATTACTCGATTTGTTAACTTATTATATTATGTAGAAACTGGCCATGGGTTCAGAGCGGGTTCTTTGTTCTTCATACAATATCAATGTTAATGAAATTACATTCATACTCATTTTATAATGGTGAATTGTCTGATTGGTCCCATTGTTTATCCGATCTTAAAAAAGAATATTCAACTCTACTTGGTGAATCAAAAAAATCTGATAATGGCACTGAAAAACTTGTTCAATTGGATGAATTAAAAGAAAAAATTGCGCAAGTCGAAGGTTATCTTGCTGGCCCTACAAAAACTATTAATTATCCAAATAATATAACTTTTATGAACTTTGTGGATTTTTTATTGGTACCTACTTTAGTATATGAATTGGAATATCCAAGGACTGAAAAGTATGTTCTTTTTTCTTTTTGTTTTTAATTCATTAACTTTTTTTTAACTCTTTGTACTAAACCTTTTTTTCTTTTGATGGTGAATTAGAATTCGTCCTTGGTATGTTTTGGAAAAAATTGTAGCGACATTTGGTACTTTCTTTTTGTTATATCTCAATACTGAAACATACATAATTCCTACTTTGCCGAACGTTTCGACATCGGCTTATAATTCTATGATACAAATGTTATTTCCTTTCATGGTTAATTATCTATTAATTTTTTATATTATCTTTGAGTGTATTTGTAATGTTTTTGCTGAATTGACAAGGTAATACATATATATATATATATATATATTTTCGTTTATCTCACATATTTATTAAGCATCATATTAATATACCTTTTTTTCACAGATTCGCTGATCGTAATTTTTATGATGATTGGTGGAACAGGTATTTATAGTTCATAAATTTATAGTTCATAACAAAATTGTCATATCAACTGCGATTACTTTTTTTTTTTTCATTCAATCATTTAAATAGTACAACTTGGGAAGAATTTGCTCGAAAATGGAATAAACCAGTACATCGTTTTCTATTGCGTCATGTATATCAATATTCTATAGAATCTTATAAACTATCAAAACGTGATGCAACATTTATGACCTTTTTCTTATCTAGTCTAATCCACGAATTAGTGATGGTGGTTGTATCAAAAAAGATTCGAATGTACTTGTTTTTCTTGCAAATGTTTCAATTACCATTAATTGCATTGAGTAAATTACCAATTGTTAAAGAAAAAAAATGGTTGGGAAATGCGTTCTTTTGGCTTGGTTTATTTTTAGGTCCACCTATGTTGGGTATATTGTATTGTAGAGAAGTTTTTCTTTCATAAATGTTCAGCCGGATATGGGTTAGGTATTATTATTATTTATTTAGATAAATGTTTATATAGATGGGACAATAGATTATGTAATAGTATTTATTAAATATTTTGATTTTATTTACAAACTAACGTTCCCAATTAATCATTATGTTATAGCATATATATTTCTTGCCATTACTGCATTATAAGTTTTTTACCTACTTTATACAACACATTAATTTTTGCTTTCTTGATTCAAAACTATAGCAGCGATTAGTAGCAATAATATTACAATTCATACATAGAATTTCTCAATTATATAATATATAGTTTAATAGTCCTAAAAAAAAATATTATTACGTCATGGCGAAAATTACAGATTCTCTTTTTCATCTTTGGCTGTGCCTATGCCTTTGTAATAGCAGGATCCAACATTAAATTGTCCATTCGAATCGCCACCTTCAGCAGATTTCAAATACCACTCAAATGCTTTTTTTTTATCCTTAGTTGTGCCTATGCCATTTTGATAGAAGTTTCCCACGT